TGTGGTGCTGGAGAAGAGTATTGAATATACATGGACTGCCAAGAAAACAAATAGATTCAGCCTGGAGAGGGTTAAACCAGATGCTCCTTGGAGGCAAGGATTCTGGGACTTCGTCTGACATACTTTGGACATGTTGCCAGGAGGGACAGGTCCTTGGAGAGGGACATCATGCTTGGGTGAGTGGAGGGACAGTGTAGGAGGGGAAGACCCTCTATGAGATGGATTGATTCAGTGACTGGGGTAATTAGGATGGGTGTGTCAGAGGCAATGCACTTTGGCACAGGATAGACCAGGGATTAGGGCTGTTGTACATAGGGTCGCTGTGAGTCGCAAGCAACTTGACAGCACATAACAACAACAATAACAACAACTAGAAGGCATATTCATTTTTATGGAATATATTTAAAACTGTATTGGAAGCATCTTTTTAAAAAAAATGTTTATGAAACTGTTACTGCTGTGTTAGTATTAATGGTCGTTTGGGGGCAGTAGAATAAAAGATTTTTCTTTTTTTTTTTTTAACAGCCTTTGTGATTCTAACATTCCATGCTTTTTTTTATTCTTATGCAGTTGAAGTTTGCACTCAAGACCTACTTTCCTTATGCATCTCCAGCTCTTGTCATGGAACTACTCCAGCATCCTAAAGGTAAATTATTTTACATGTATTAAAGTTATTTCCGGGAATAAATATTAACAAGTCATAGCCCTTTTCCTTTCAGTTTCTTATCTGTAGTACCAAAAGCAACAAAACTCACTGTCATTGAGTCAAGTCTGACTAGTTCATAGGGTTTCCAACACTGTAAAGCTTTATGGAACAAGGCTGTCATGTTTTTCTCCATAAAAATGGTGGGTGGATTTAAATCACAAGCCTTTTAGTGTGCAGCCAAGTGCTTAACCAATATGCTACCAGGGCTTCTCACCTGTAGGACGAGGAAGTTGCAGTTACTATCTAAGATTTGTTTAGAGGTCAGTGATGATTCATTGGTAGAATCTTTGTGTTTTTGCAGGAGTCCCAGGTATAATTCCAAGCTAATGCACCTCACGTATAGCCATCATCCATCTGTCAGTGGAGTCTTTCCTGCTACTATGATGCTAAACTACTGAGCAAGTTTTAGTGGAACTTCTAGACTAAGAAAAATTAATAAATAGTTGATTATACAAAATTCACTCATTATCTCTTAGGCCTCAATTCTGTCACCTTACCCACAATATCGAGCTATAATTGCTTCTTGTTTCAACTTTTACATTCCAGTCACCAATTATATTAATCTATCGTGATTGAGCTCTAGTGGGCTAGTGGCAAGAAGCTGCATTGCAATCCCAAAGGCACAGGGTTCAAGGCCACCAGCTGATCGATAGGAGAAGGATGTGCATTCTCCTCCCATGTGATTAACTGCTTCCGAAAACCCATAGGAGGGTCAGCTATGGGTTACTTCTGACTCGACAGTACACAAGAACAAATAACTTGACTGCATGTCCAGTCAATTTCAGACTGCAGAATTTCGTAGAAATTCTATTTCTTCATTTTGGGCTTTAGTTGTTGATACTTATATTTGAATGATAGTGGTATTAATAAATTTTCCTTATACATGTATGGATAGTATCCAATTACTCAGAGCTTTGGTCTTCAGGACAAATCTTGAAATGGTCTTTTTAACTGTGATTACAACACTATCCTTCCTCAATTTTTCATTCCCACCATAACATATCATATGATTGTCTTATTCATAGTGGCCAATGCTAGTTTCTCTCAGCTCACTAACGCCTAGAATGTCAATGTTACATATTCCATTTCACTTTAACAACTTCTGATTTCCCTAGATTGATACTTTACACATTCCATGTCCTAATTATAAATTGGAAGCAGGAGTGGCATCTACTTCATAAATAACATGCCTCCAGAAACTCTATGAACTTTGATGAAGGTCAATAGTTATAGAGGAGCTGCAGGCCTTTTATTCATAGGGTCACTGTGAGTCATGCTCGACTTGAAGGCAGTCAACAACAATAATTATAAATGGATACTTGCAGCTGTTTCTGATTTTTTAATATCTTCTAAAGACCTTAACCTTAGAAGGGCTCTACCTCTAGTACTATGTCTAACAGTGCATCTCTGTTATTCATAGAGTTTTCAAATGCCTAACACACACACAAAACACAACAACCCACAAGTGGGAATTATATGCATGGACCTCACCTTTTGTTCTGATCATGAATTATATTTATTACTTTTATAGAAGGAATCATTGGAGAAGCATAACATTAGTAGTCAAAGCCAGACTAAGTGTTGACTGTGGAACAGACCGTATGTACAAGTTCGAATTGAAGCTGAAGAAAATTCAAGCAAATCAATAAGAGCCAAAATACAATTTGGGGTCTGTCTCACCTGAATTTGAAAACTGTATCAAGAATAGATTCAATATTGATTCATTTTATAAAATATCATGAATGGGAGTGGTTGTAAAAAACACAAAATGAATGAAGATAGTGTGAGAAACAATGCATACAAACTTTGTAAGTAAACCAGTACAAAATAAAAGTTAATTTTTTTAAAAAAAGACTAGATTTGAGGAATTGAACACTAATGATCAGAGACCAGATAAGTTGTGGAATGACATCGAGGATATCTAGGTCATTCATGAAGAAAGCAAAAAGTCATTGCAAAGACAGGAAAGAAAAAAGAAAAGAAAAAAAGACCAAAATGGATGTCACTGAGAACTTTGAGAATTGCACTGGTGTGTCAAGAGGCCAAACAATGGAAGAAGTGAAATGAAGGAGATGAACAAAGTATTTCAAAAGGCAGCTCAAGAAGACAAAAACAAGTATTATAAAAATATGTGCAAAGAGCTAGAGTTAGGAAACAAAAAGGGAGGAACTTGTTCCTTATTCATCAAGCTGAAATAACTGAAAAACAAATTTAAGCTTCAAGTTCCAATACTGAAGGATGCCCTGGGCAAAATCCTGGATTATCCAGGAAGTATCAAGAAAAGATGAATACACTGAGTCACTGCACCAAAAAGAATTGGCTGACACAGAACTGTTTCAGGACTAATGGTGATAAAGGAAGACATTCAGGTTCCAATAAAAGAATTGGCAAAAAATTAGGCCCAGGAATTGATGGGATACCAATTGGCATGTTTCAACAAGCAGTGGTAACTCTGGATGTGCTCACCAATCTATGCCAAGAAATTTGTAAATCTAGAGGAGATCATTACTGATGTTAAATGTATCTTGGCTGAAAGCAGAGAGTACCAGAAGGATGTCTTATTATGTTTCATAAGCTGTGCAAAGGCTGTGAATCACAGCAAAGTATGGTTTACTTTGAGAAGAATAAGAATCCCAGAACACTTAATTGTTCTCATATGAAACCTATACCTAGATTGAGAGCCAGTTGTCTAAATAGAGTAAGGGAATAATGCATTGTTTAAAATAAAAAAAGGTATGCATTAGGGCCGTATCTTTTTTCCATACCTATTCAGTCTGTATGTAGAGCAAATCCATCAAGAAACTGGACTTTAGGAAGAAAAATGTGGTATCCGGATCAGAGAAAAATTTATTGACAACTTGTGTTATGCAGACAACACAACTTTGCTTACTTGAAGTGCTTAACTCAGAACACCAAAAGTCCTCACCACTAGGCCAATAGGCAACACCATGATAGTTGGAGAAAAGATAGAAATTGCCAATTATTTCATATTATGTGAATCCACAATCAACCCCCTTGGTACCAGCAGTCAGGAAATCTAAAGACTAGTTACATTGAGAAATTCTACCATCAAGGATCTCTCCAAAGTGCTGAGGAACAAGGATGTCAATTTGAAGACTAAAGTGCATCTTATCCAAGCCATCCAGTTACTTTCTGTACATCTGAGAGTTAAATGAATAAAGACGACAGAAGAAAAATAGATGCCTTTTGAGTTCTGGTGCTGAGAAGAGCATTAAGTATCACATAGACTGCCAAAAGAACAAATACATACGTCTTGGAGAAGGTCCAGACAGGATGCTTCTTAGAAGGAAGGATGGTGAAACTTTTTCTCACATTGTCTAGTGGCCACTCTTGGGAAAATGATACCATGCTCAGAAAAGAGGACGGCCAGCAAAGGACCATCAATGAGATGGATTTGAAACAGTAACTGTAACAATGGTTTCTGAAGTAGCAGAGATGAAGAAAATGGCACAAAATAGGGCAGTGTTCTGATCCGTCATTCCTAGGATGACTGTGAGTCATAGTCAACTCGACGGAACATAACAAAAAACAACATCTAGGGGCAAGGGTGAAAGAAAAGCTTAATTATCTGCTTCCAAAAGTCACCCTTGTGGATCCCAGTAGTCTGATCTCATTGTGTATGTAGAGTTTCCATGAGTCGAACTCAAGATAGTGAATAACAATAAGATCCCATACTTGCACCTGTAGTCTTGAAAATTTGACTTTTCAGTTATTAACACTTTCTAAAAGAGTCATATTTCTTAAGATAGTTTCTACATTTAGTTGGGATGTATTCAAGGTCATATTTTAGTTCCGGGGGACTTACTTTCTTCAATTTCAGTTTGAACTTACATATGAGCAATTGATAGTCTGTTCCATAGGCAACATGTGGCCTGATTTTAACCACTGATATTAAGCTTTTCCAACTTCTTCTGTGACAGATGTAGTAGATATAATTCCTGTGTAATTCATCAGGTGAAGTCCAAGTATATAGTCAGTGTTTATGCTTACTTTTGAAAAAAAAAGTGTTTGAAATTAATTCATTGTACAAAATTTTATCATGTCTCCAGTCTCATTTCTGTCACCAAGGCCATGTTTAGGCCTTCTTTGTTTCCAATTTTACATTCCAGTCACCAGTTATTGTTGTTGTTATTGTTGTTGTTGTGGATTGCCATCAAGTCAAGCACGACTCTTAGCCAGCTTATGAACAAAATACCTGAAGCCTTTTGATAACTATCGTTTCTCAAAGTTCATAGAGTTTCCAGAGGCATGTTGTTTAGGAAGTGGATATTGTATCTTTATTCCATGTTCAATTTCAGACTGCAAAATTTGGTATACATTCTCAGTTCTTCCCTTTTGGCTTGTGTAGTTGATGTTTATATGTGAACAATGTTAACATTAACAGGACTTCACTTGTATTCATATGGATAGAATCCTGTCACTAACAGCATTGTTCTTCAGGATACATCATGAAATGCTCTTTTTGTTGATGAATGCCACACCATTCCTCTTCAATTAATTTGTCATTTCCATGATAGTAAATCATGTGATTATTTGATTCAAAATGGTCAGTGACTGACAATCTCAGCTCATAAATACTTAGCATATCAATCTTTATGCATTCCATTTCATTTTTCACAACTTCCAGTTTTCCTAGATTCATGCTTCATACATTCCAGGTTCCAAATTAGATTGTTTCTCCTCATTTTGAGACTTACCACATCAGCAAATTAAGGTGCTTCATTGATCGAAAGCTTTACTCCATGTGTGTCATTACAGTATACTTGGGAGAGGCAGCTCATCAGCAATTGCATTTCGACTGCCTTCCAACCTGCGTGACTCATTATCCATCACTATATCCAACAATATTCTTCCAGTGGTCATAGAATTTTCAAAGATCTGTTATTTCAGAAATGGATAGCCAGTCCTGCTTCTTAGTC